AGAGTATGTATCCAATTGTTTATGAAAACCACAACACATTTTAATATTAACACAAAACATTCACTTCTGAATGTTCGTTTACCATGCATTAGGCTAGGTCTAGACTTCTTCCATCACTGTTGGCTGAGACCATGCGCAATCTGTGTAGTTGTGTTCAATAAAGTACATATAGTAAATAACTAATTAAACCATCTTAAAATGAAGAAAACTATCAATACAATCATGGTGAAAAAAGAGAGTTCTAAGTATAGAAAACAAATTATGCAATGCTACAACAAATTCCATTTACCTTAATCCTAGTCAAGGTTGGGCTCGGTAAAGGCAGTTTTTGGTTACGCCTCGCTCTGCGGTATTCATCAGCAACCTCACCGCGCTGCACTATTGGCGCTTACGTGACTAACGCAACATTTCCGCATAGTCTTGATTTTTTTTAAACATGCCTTACGGGAGCATGTCCGTAAAGTTGGATATCCTTAAGTCAGGTCTTCCGCAATCCGGGAACTTACTGTACAGGAAAAGCTCTGAATCTACTTTACCATCTGGAATGCTCTATCAACCAACATCTCTCATAAACGGCAATACAAATCTTCCTTCACATATCTGGAAAAATTCTGATAGCCATCCAGCATCTTGCCATCAACTTCTCATAGATGTTGTTTAAGGAAGCTTCAAGACACTTCTGAGTGGTGTTGCTTGTACACGAATGTAGCTCTTGCAGGGGTTAGTTTTGGCCTTTCACGGGTATACTGAACACTTAACCACTGTATCAATGGCTGCTACCATGGTGCGGGGCGGGTGAGAGACGGCAGTCGCCTCTAAACCTTTGCCGTGGAATCATCTCGTGGACAAAGACGCCCCGTGTATAGCCTATTAACAGACTGTTGGGCAAGTCCTATTAGCGATCGCCTATGAAGGCCAGCACAGCAGACGAGGGGGATGGGTGGCCAGTACCACGCCCGGTCACCTTTGTCTCCCAAGTGATGTTTACGCATCTCACCAAGTACTCATTTAAAGCCGAGTCGAACTAGGGGAGGCCTAGAACCGATTCAGATCATCGTTACTGGTATTGAGCGTGAGTGGGATTCGGAACTCGGATTGCCGAGTTCATAGTGCAGCATGCTAACCGTTGAACTATTGCTCCTCACTTGCAAACACACACCCGCTTTGGATCATCATCGGTAAGTACAGTAGTTATACTATTTATTGTTGAGAATTTGTTATATAGGTTTGTTACAGGTTTATTTTAATTAGTTTTAGTTTATTTGGCAGAAAGTACAGTAGAGTACTTATTTCAATTGTGATGTGTCTATTTTGGTTTCCGTGTACCTAACACCATTATTTAGGTACGGCTTAAGTATTGAATAGAGGTTTTGTCTTTTGCAGCACTTTCTAAGAATGCGATACTCAAGAATCTCCTTACTTAGAAAATTTGGTTAACCATAAGTATAGCTCTCAGATTATAATCAGCATATTTGATTATTTAGCACCCTACGTTCCCCAAGGATGCCAGATAACAGAGCGTAACTATAATCAGATAAAACTTAAGAGATTGTTTAAGTGACTAATCGAGGCCTCTTGGGGTGAGTACAGGTGGAGTTATGAAACAAAGGGGCAGGATCACCTGCCTATTCATCTACGATGAAATTAGAGCCACAGGAATGTTCACCATAGGAAGTGGCTCTTTTCTGGGCTGTCTTCCTCACTTTCTGGTTTGATTGCAGCATGTTTAAAAAAGCTGTCCAAACACAGCTGTGCAGCATTTTTCTTCTTCTGCCGATACGTCTTATCGCAGTGAATGTTAATTAACATTCGTGATGGCAGTGCTATCTTTCATTGGCCTCTTCTTCAGCCCACTGTTGTTGTGCCAGCTGCTTCAGATCCTCATTTGACAGGTCCTTACCATGGGACTCAAGCAATGCTACCAAGTCCATGTCCTCTACATTGTTGTGTCTAGCTTCCCTCCCCACGTGGAGGGAAATCATTTCCACGTGCTACATGTGTACAATACAGTATCACGTCGCAAAAGTCGCAGTTTTCAGCTTGTACATTCCTAGTTTTTTTTTTAATGCACAGTATCTGCCCCTTTTTTAAAGAATGCATATGAAAAATATTGCACTTACAAGGAAATATGTTCACTAATTAAATGGCAAGGTATATGCGAAACAATCTGGCAACTAATAGTGGGGGGGGGAGGGGGTGTGAGATTCCTGTACAAGAAGTTAGTCAGTCAGGGCCTTTCAGCAATTCCCCTCCAAGTTTAACATTATGAATTACATAGCAATCATCAGCCCCAACTGGGCGTTGCTGAAAAAAAGTCATGAGACTTCATGAAGCTTTCCTGGGTAACAAACAAAATGTTTTTGGGTTTGGAATGCAACATTATCTTGAACTGGGTACGCATTAACGGTGTATAATGTAGATCATTGTGTACTGGGTATGCATTGAATGAGGGAAGCTACATTACCCATCATAAATTAAATTACTTATAATCTTAAACATAACCCATAAGTCTTGAAAAATTCCAAATTCGCTGTGCTTAATTTTGCGGGAAGCTAATATTAAAACATTTAGGTTTAAGCATTACCATTGTGCATAATTCTAACTTGTATTTGCAAACTACAGTGAGGGAAAAAAGTATTTGATCCCCTGCTGATTTTGTACGTTTGCCCACTGACAAAGACATTATCTGTCTATAATTTTAATGGAGGTTTATTTGAACAGTGAGAGACACAATAACAACAACAAAATCCAGAAAAACGCATGTCAAAAATGTTATAAATTGATTTGCATTTTAATGAGGGAAATAAGTATTTGACCCCCTCTCAATCAGAAATATTTCTGGCTCCCAGGTGTATTTTATACAGGTAACGAGCTGAGATTAGGAGCACACTCTTAATGGGAGTGCTCCTAATCTCAGCTTGTTACCTGTATAAAAGGCACCTGTCCACAGAAGCAATCAGATTCCAAACTCTCCACCATGGCCAAGACCAAAGAGCTTTCCAAGGATGTCAGGGACAAGATTGTAGACCTACACAAGGCTGGAATGGGCTACAAGACCATTGCCAAGCAGCTTGGTGAGAAGGTGACAACAGTTGGTGCGATTATTCGCAAATGGAAGAAACACAAAATAACTATCAATCTCCCTCGGCCTGGGGCTCCATGCAAGATCTCACCTCGTGGAGTTGCAATGATCATGAGAACGGTGAGGAATCAGCCCAGAACTACACGGGAGGATCTTGTCAATGATCTTAAGGCAGCTGGGACCATAGTCCCAGCTGCCCGTCTGAAGTTTGCCAATTAACATTTGAATGATTCAGAGAACTGGGTGAAAGTGTTGTGGTCAGATGAGACCAAAATGGAGCTCTTTGGCATCAACTCAACTCGCCGTGTTTGGAGGAGGAGGAATGCTGTCTATGACCCCAAGAACACCATCCCCACCGTCAAACATGGAGGTGGAAACATTATGCTTTGGGGGTGTTTTTCTGCTAAGGGGACAGGACAACTTCACCGCATCAAAGGGACGATGGACGGGGCCATGACCGTCAAATCTTGGGTGAGAACCTCCTTCCCTCAGTCAGGGCATTGAAAATGGGTCGTGGATGGGTATTCCAGCATGGCAATGACCCAAAACACATGGCCAAGGCAACAAAGGAGTGGCTCAAGAAGAAGCACATTAAGGTTCTGGAGTGGCCTAGCCAGTCTCCAGACCTTAATCCCATAGACAATCTGTGGAGGGAGCTGAAGGTTCGAGTTGCTAAACGTCAGCCTCGAAACCTTAATGACTTGGAGAAGATCTGCAGAGAAGTGGGACAAAATCCCTCCTGAGATGTGTGCAAACCTGGTGGCTAACTACAAGAAACGTCTGACCTCTGTGATTGCCAACAAGGGTTTTGCCACTAAGTACTAAGTCATGTTTTGCAGAGGGGTCAAATACTTATTTCCCTTATTAAAATGCAAATCAATTTATAACATTTTTGACATGTTTTTCTGGATTTGTTTGTTGTTATTCTGTCTCTCACTGTTCAAATAAACCTACCATTAAAATTATAGACAGATAATTTCTTTGTCAGTGGGCAAACGTACAAAATCAGCAGGGGATCAAATACTTTTTTGCCTCATTGTACCACCATGCATCAATAGACACAACATAGGCTCTGCCATGTCCGCGACCAACTGGGCCCATCTCAGGCATGAACATGTGTACGGCCAGCTAGGCCTGACTCAAGTTCAACCACGTGCCCGATTAACTAGGCTCGAACACAGGCCCGGCCATCTGCGCTGCCAAGCAGCTGTGTCCAATACGAAGGCTCAAACACATATATAACTACTAGGTCTCATTCAGGCTCCACCATATGCAAATTATCTAATCCTTGATGGCCATCCATACCATTATCATTAAACTTTATGAATGATTGTAATGAAGTTAGTAAATATATATGCATTTCTACCCTGGTACTACACTATCTGCTCATACTAGATCACAATTCGGCCCGCAGATACAGCAGCCCAGTTTTACTGCACTCCCCAAGGACCAAACGGTGTTGTGAATTTTACAGTTGAACACTGTGTAATATATTGGGACCAAATTTAGAAAATAATTACCATTTTAGCTTTACCAACTCTAGATTTACACTACAGAAGCTGAATGTGATTTGTGTAATTCTGTAATAAGTGATGATTATATATCAGAAATCAAATATCCGTTCATGCACGTCCTCACTTATAGCGTATTGTCAGGGGCTGTAATAAATGCCACCAGGGGCCACCAGTGGCCGCGGGCCTTGCAATGAAGAACACTGGGTGAGTCCAAACTCAACTAAAATGCATTTGCTTACTCATCAATGTTGACATGCAGTTACTTTTAGATGAAATATTAATCTCATGTTATTTCGTGTCAGAATTTAATGACGTGTTACATGCCCCATCCACAGTAATACGAGATTGTTAACAGGTTAAAACAAGTCACAACCCTTCTAAATGAAAAAAAACACGTGGTTTACCTGCTTGAGTAATCGCTGTTCTTGCTTTGAGGCCTCCATTGCTGCCAGTGTGCGGCGGGACAGCACCACCTTGATGATACAACCTGGGTACATGTTCACCGTCCTCATCAGGTTGACCACCTCCTGTGGGTCTATGTATGGGTGATTGAGCACCACCACCGGCTGATTGGCCCTCGGCTTTTTGTGAGCCTGCTTGATGTACAGAGGCTTGATGGGCAGGGATAGCGGTAGCTGTGAAGAGAAACTGGAACATGCATTGTCTGTCTGGAGCTCTTTATCGTCCACTTTCTTCTTCAAAGTCCGGGCTGGTTTGGTGAACTGCTCTTTGGATTCACGGACAGATATAGGTAGAAGGCAGGCTTCATTTGAGGGACTATTGGGTTTCGTTTTAACTACTCTCAAAGCTGTGTTGTGTTTTTCCCGGAAATATGAAATGCAGGTAGCCAAGTAGGCAGATCTTGCTTGGGTTTTCATATCAGTAGATGCCATTACCGACTGAGGTTTGCATGTGGGTTTCCTTATTTTTATCTTTACTTGGTTAGTTCCTTGTATCTTACGCTTCAATGGAGAAACGTTTGCAAATGTCACATGTCCAGGTTCACCTTGGGTGTCAAAGTTCACATCAGTTTCCGGTTCCGACACAGGTTTCCCTTCACGCATATCTGCCTCTGAGACCACTTTGGTAACATTTGATACTTTGGAAGTCGATTCAACACCACTTGCAAGGGTCTTGGGTGCTACAACATAGTCAGACTTCGATGCAGATTTTAAATCGCCCGCTTTTTTGATCTCCGTATTCACAATCGCGTGACGGGTGTTAGATATTAATTCACCACAGTGCGCAAGTGCCATGAGCGTTGCTGCTGCATCTTCAGCTTCTGATGCAGGTTCTCCTTGACCCAATTTTGCTACTGAATCTCTATCATTAGAGACGTAGACTCTAGACACACGTTGTACACAGTCTGAAAGAGTTCTTGGTGTTGTCGATTCTTCGGTATCTAAAGAATGTATGGCTACATTTGACTTTGCTCGACCATCAATGTGTACTTCTCCACCTGTTGACTCAGCAGAGCTCTTGTTCTGGTCCAACTGCGATTTCAAATCAAAGTCACGCTTTGCCATTTCATGGGCATTGTCTGCATATCCACCGTTTTTAGAAACTGCTTTATAAATCACTGATGCACAATTCATGTTGCTTATCAATTCTGATGATGCCATTTTAGAAATGACCACATTTGGTAGAAACCCACTTGGAACATCTCCCTGTGATTTGGAGCAAAGTTCACCTTGGACAAAAGGTGAAGAAATTGAAGCCGGCTGAATATTTGTGGTGGTTTGAGATGTCTCCTTTTCAATATCTCTCAAATCTTTGACATTTCCAATTTGAGCTGTTTGTGCTGGCAACTCTGAAATTATTAGCATTGCCCCGTTGATGGAAGGAAGAGCCTTGCAAGGTCCAACATCTTTCGGTTTACTTCTGCAATCATCCCAGGCCACTTGGAAATGAGGTTCATGGTTTTCAGCTGGGCACATGGGTTGAGTAATGAGCTTGGAATCAGCAGAATCTTTAAGAACAGGAGAGTCATTAATTGCAGCTGTACTGTTTAACAGACCATCATGTTGAGAGATTTCTGTTTGCTTTTGAGAATCCAAAACACTGCTCCCCAACACATGAGCATTCGTGAAATACTTCAGATTTGCCGATGCCAAAGGCTGTATGAGAGGTATGGGTTGTGGGGGCATTGTCTCAGGAGGCTTCTTGGAGGAAACAGCAATTGTTGGACCTACCGTAAGCAGGTTTTGCGAGGGAGACATGGACCCGAAACCCTTGTCAAAAGCACTCAAGGGGGTGAAAACATTTAAAGTGTGTTGACTGCTTTTTTCTGTGTTGCACGCTTTAGCTAAAGCTTGAGTCGATATCAATGGAAAGTGCAATTGTATTGGCTTGGCTGAGCTGGGATACGTTTTAATGATGATCGGAGGTGGTGGGGGAAGCTGAACTGTGGCACTTGGTACGGAGCGATGCAGGTTGTCGGCCTTGTTGGTTGCGGCAGAGATTGTATGAGTGGGAAAAAGCTTCAAAGGTGGTACAGGAATCATCAGTGGTGGCATATTTTGTGAAGGAATTCGCACATGACTCGTGATGTCTCCATTCATCATCCCGGACAAAACATTTTCCGGACAGGCTATCTGGGGGCCTGAATTTGCTCCTACTGAAAAGAATATAAAGGGTGCATTTTGATTCATTATAGACGGTATCATTATAGATTGGGAATTGCTAATGATGAAACTCTTTGGAGCCATTTGATTCGTGGTAGCCGTACGTGTGGTAGTTGTTGTGGACACTCCAATTGTTGACGTCAAAACAGTCGTTTGTCCTCCAACCAATGGCTGAAATGAAAGTGTGCTGGGCAAAGTTACTACAGTCGTGCAGACAGGCATGGGAAGGCTACTCGGAGATACATCCGATTGTTTGGTCAACATCAAGGGTGCTGGCTGTGCAAATGAGTAAGTGGGCTGCTGAGTGGGTGCTTGACACTGGTTCTGCATCTCAGATGAAACCTTTTTGTGCATCACATTCTGGATCACTTTCGACACAACAGACGACTGAGGAATATCAGCTGTTGACGGGTGATGAGTGCCTTTGGTGCTTTTATCTAACAGTGTGGGCTCTTGACTGGCAGCAGAATTATCAGACTTCGGTACAGAAGGCATAATCTTCATTACCCTACCATTTGTAAGCTTGACGTAAAATGGAAAATGTGCAGGAGACAACTTTGAAGCACCTTTCACTGGGATGAACACTTTGCTACCAGGCTTCCTGACCAAATCTTCCAAAATATGCGGTGGCAAAGTGAACTGCATGGTAGTGGGACTAGCAACAGCATTTGTTTCTGGAGTCAAGACAGTGCTGGTGCTGTTACAAGCCATGATCCCAAGGTCTGGTTGCATCGGTACAGATGGCTTTTCTTGCACAGTTTTCAATGGCTGACCGGGCATTTCTGGCAGAACAGACGTGAATATGACAGGTGGTGAAGTCAGTGTGGTGGGAGAGGGAATGGTGCATGTCAATGTAGTGCTTTGATTAGAGTCCAGTGATAATTGTGTGTCTGCTGGTGGTAGAGCAGGAGGAAGGACTGAAGCAGAGGTTGATTGTAGACGATTTTCAATCGGTAACATTTCATGGCGTGAATGTGAAACGAGAGGCTGCGTCAAATCTAAAGGGTTGCATTCTTCTCGTTGCAAGGGTTCACCTGAAGACAATTCTGTGACAGTACACAGCGGTTCAATTATTTGATTTACTGCTTTGGCAATAGGAATTTGTGAATGGCTTTCATCTGTTGGAGCCTCAACGCAATCTTCCTGTAGCTGTTCGGAAAGTTCACCAGAAGATGGTGTAATGGGGAATTCCACACTTTGTGATATAGGCAGTGCATGTTCATTTGCATCACTGAGAGTGGATTTTTGCTTGCTTTTCAGCAATGGTTTGGAACTATGCTTTTTCGGCCTACCACGCTTTGGTACACTATCAAATTTGCTCTCAGAGCTGAGGATTATGTCAGGATTCATCGAGGAATCACCTAACAAATATTGGTCATGTTTCAAATCAGCAGTGGTGCTAAATTCATCAAGCACCTTGACAGGGGAATTACAATTTGTGGCAATCAATTTAATTTCTTCAGCAACATCTGTTTCACTGCCATCAGCATTTGCAAACGTCTGCCTTCGGCTTGCTATGTTTTTCATCATTAACATCCCATTACACCCTTTGAGTTCATGTAGAGAAATCTCCCCTTCGATTTCTTTCAGATCATCTGACAAGACACTTGCATCTTTTACCACCGATGCTGCATTCACTTGGACTGTTCCAGACTGCGGAGTGGATGCGTTGCCGAGATTATTTATGGATTCATTTTCAGGGATCCTGTTTTCATCTGGGACCTCAGGCTCATCAATCAGATCAGGTGGTTCAGACACTGCACGGTTCTCTTTGACGTTGTAAGTGTTGGTGGCCCTTTCATGTGCACACTCTGGAGTAAGTGAAGACTTTTCAGTACTCTGAGGAATTGGCTTTATCACCTGCGAAGAGTCCAGCCGAGTCCAACATATTCTCTTGGCATGGGACGAAGGATTATCTGTTACTTGTGCACCTTTTACAAGGGACTCAACAATGGAACGTTTGCATTTGGATGAAGCTGGCACAGCGAGGTTGTCTACAATGGTTATTTCAGGATCTTGCTGTGTTTCCTTGTGGGTAACAACTTCCCTCACACTGCTGGACACTGTGTCTTCAACATCTATGCAGTGTGACACCTGATTTTCTTTTATTGTCTCAGAGGAATCAGAGTTTTTCTCCTGTTCCTGTATACTTGAAGATACAGACGAAGGCTGGTTTGTTTTGTCACCATCATTATTACTTGCTAGCTTGAACTGCACCAACTTCATCAGGGACTTTGTTTTACCAGAATTTTTGCTGGCACCAGAATTATCTGCTCTTGCCCCATTATTATTTTCTGTTGTCTTGATGGAATCCACCTCCGTTTTTTGCTTAAGCTTGATAACCACCTGCTTCTTACCGTCAACAAGCTTCACGCCCAAAACCTCAAAAGTGTAATTGGCTGGAATTAAAATCCGGCTTCCTATGACCGGCAAAAGGGGACGATTGTTTATCGTCTTCTGCAAGACAGATGTGTTTTCTTGAAGCAGAGGGACACTCTTGGTTGTGCTTTGCATCAAAAGATTACTTTTCTCCAGGACTTCTCCATCACCCAGCATCAGCAAATCAGGTTTCCGCATCACGTCAACTGTGCCCACATGATTGCCGCTCAGGATTGGCAACAGAGGTGCACTCAATCCTCCGTCTACACTGACATCATCCACAGTCGTTGAGTCACATTCGCTTGTTTCGTCAGGTGTGCCACTTGCATTTACTTCCGGTATCTCATCTTTCCTCTGGCAGGGCGACATCAAGCTGTAAGAACGAAGAGCTTGGGCAGCCTGCTCTTCAGATGAAAAACACTCTAAATTTACGCTGTGCTTCTGAAGGGAATGCTTCTTTACCATACGGAGGACAGGATGTTGGAAATTACACTGCATACAACAGAAAACCTGCGCATTAGGGTCTTGCACAATTTTGCAAACCTTTTTCCGGATGACCGTCGTACTTTCGTTGGCACCATTCCTTTTTCCATTCCTCTTGTCCTTACAAATTGCGCAAGAAAACTTCAACTGCTGAAGTGGTTTAGCATTGGTCTTATATTTTTCTTCCTGCATGTGCTCATTGTAATGCAATTTCAAATTCAAGTATGCTTTGATTGACTCATTGCACAAGGGGCAATTGAAACTTGGACGAATGCCTCCGTGGGTTAAATTGTAGTGCCCGTTCAGTCCACGTGGTGAGAACTCCACTGCCGTGTTCTGGGGAAAATTATTTTTCTCCTCGGGCCACGTTTGACCTGACGAGCCAAAACACATGTGAGCATGAAGCCCATCGTTGCTATTTATCTTTTGGTGGCAGCGGTGACAAAACTGGACAGAATTGCGCCCAGACCTTAGAGACTTTCCCTTCAGTGTTGCTGGAGAACTAGAATCACCCTGGGATTCAAAGCAACCAGAGGGATCAGAGAGACTTGTGAATATCGATTCAGATAATTCACTGTTTGGTAATGTAACTTCGCTTTCTGCCATTTCAGTCACAATATTGCTTGCCCTCACATCCGTTGCAATGTCACCGACTGGTCCATCATTTGGAATGTTTGCAACTGTCCCATCATTTTCAATGTCACTTGCACCCACATCATTGGCAATGCCAATGGATGCCACGTCAGTTGCAATGTAACTTGCTTCTGTATCAGTTACAATGTTGCAAGCCACTCTATTAATTGCAATGTCATATGTACCTGCATTATTTTCAATGTTCAATGCTGCTTCGTCAGTCGGTGGCAAAGATTCCTCAATCTCACTGACGGGAGATGCACAAACGGTGTTATTTATGTCGGCCACCAAGACAGATCTCATGCCACTGTAGTGAGGGGAACAAACATGAGGCCGGGAGAAGTCTTCAATCCACTGACTGCAGTGGCTGCATAGTTTGGCGATGTGTACTGGAGACTTAGGCTGCAGTTCGTGAATTTCGGGTACGTTAGCCACAGCCTTTACTCCAACACTGGTACTCTTCCTGGTGATGCCGCTTGCATTCCTATCGGAGCTACACCCTGCGATATTAAGCTTGTGGAGAACAACCCTTAACGATTTCAGCATGATGCCTCGTGCTCCTTCATACGCAGTTTCCCTTTCGCACCGAGGCTTCCTTTCTTTCGAAGGACTGCGGCAACCCTTCGACGATGGTCCACTATGGCCCTTAGGGACTTTGATTCTTCGTTTTTTGAAAGAGGGCATACTCTCTTCACTGGATGCATCTGAAGACATGGCTGGTGGCCTCTTCTTGTCTGAAATTACAATGTTACACTGTTGTTTAATTACAAGTAACTGTACTTCTACTAATTTTTAACATGCAAGCAATGTTGAATGCATGATGCTTAACCTAACCTACACATAATAATAATGTAAGGTTAGTAAATTATTTCCAAGCAATATGTTAAGCTGCCAAATGTTTTTTTTTATCCAAACATGTTTGGGTTCTGCAAAACATTTTATTTGTATTATTTTATCAAGGCTGATATGAATCAGCCGATAGCTTTTTCAAGTTTATAAGACTTTCAGACTAAGCTTTATTCTATGAAATAGTTGTAAACAAAGTTTGCAATGGGCAGTCAATTATAGAATGCTGAAACAATAATATGCAGACGTGCATACACATTTCACTATTTTACTATCATTACTCATTTAAAAAAAGACTTAACACATTTAGTACGATTGTTGGAGACTTTGGCTACGATGACCCATTGAATTAAAATTATACACCTTCTGGTGGTACAATCACTGTACTATATTAAAATGTAACTGTGAAAAGTTATACATTTAACAGAGTTATGTTTGTCAGTGATGTACAATATAACATTTTTATTACTTTGTCAAAAACTGATATGGTAGAGAAACGTGAGGAAGTGACCCTTATTCAGACCCAGTTGACATGCTGACCCAACAATTTCCTATGGCAGATGCCACACAAAATTACAAGTTAATGAGATGCTAATTGATAAATTATACATTGAGGGCAGCAGAGGGCAGTGCAGCCAAATCAATTTCTGAACGTACTTCTGCCTCATCATCTGCACGGCCATCTTCGCCAATGAGCACTGACCAGCACAGTAATGTATGGCGTAGAAAGGCCATGATCACCTAGCAGTGGATTGCCAGAGGGGCTGTAAATGTACCTACATAAGCATATTCTTATACCTCAGTTATAACTTTGGTATAACAGCTTTATACTAGCTAACACCATGTCATATGAACCTTATGGCGGGACCACGGGGTCCCACAAGCCCCTGGCTCTCGCATAAACTGCGTTGCGACGTAATTTTGTCTGTTGAAGGCGAACGATACGGCAACCTATTCCTCTTGACGAGCTCTACACGATGCGCTAATCAAAGTTTTGTTTCTTCTGCGCTTTCGTCCTCGCTGCACTTGGACGACGTAACAGAATGATCTGCGCCAGGTGGGTCGCGGCGTTTATGTGCGCAGCGGGACGGAGTCGCCAAAAATAAATTAATTACGATTTTGACTTCCGTTCATTTGGGACCCCAGGGTCCTGCCGTAAGGTTCGTATACATGAATAGCCTGGTCCTCTGTCAGCCACGGTCAATCCACTGCTGTATGAAATCTTCCGAGCCATCGCCATCTCTCGTGATCACGCGATGCGATAAAGCACTAAGTAGCTGCACACAAGCCGATTCATTGCTTTATTTCATTGTTGGATGTACCTTTGGACGCGTTCCATTCCTTGACTGCGGCTCCGTCTTTACTCTTAACTAGTGGTTATCATCCCTTCTGCCCATGATGCGTTCTGCCCAAGCCCACTTACGTTTGTTAACAGTTTAAATTGTCTGATCTTATACCGTACCTGCATGTCATCTAATCCAAGTAATCCTGTCTCTCAATGTAATTTCACTCAGTTATTGCACTGTGGAATATCAAAGCATGGGGGAGTGCTTGGCCAATTATTACAATGTTTTGTGTGTGGAGAAAACATTACTAGGAGAAACCCCAAATACACACAAGACGGAATAACAATGTGTGCTCAGATGGGATTGCGAACCCACTTCATGCACTGCCACCTACTGGCCACCTCGCAGACCAGCGGGTTTGTGAGTTGCAATTTTAAACTTTTCCAATGCGTATTAATTGCTAATAGTACACACTTGTTTAGCAGAAGGACCGTGGAACAAGAATCAGAACAAAGACCAAAGATAGGCACTGGCCTAGCAGTAAAAACAAATAATTAACGAAAAAAACCATGAGGCTAATGTAAGACAAGAGGTGGCAATCTAATTTGGCCCCATTGTCTTGAAAAGATGGAATGGAAATAATTACGCTTTGGATGCATCTGTGTTTTAGGTGAAGGTAAACTATGAGTATGCATAACGAAATCAGCTGTTTAAAGACGGAACAGCATGACACATGCAGAGGCTGACCATAGCAGGTTAAAATGCTTTTCAAAAGCTGAACATACATACAATGAGCTTAAAGAAAGCGGTCAATCAGTACGTACTATCCACTATGAAACATGGCCCAGACGGGCAAAACCAAAAACTTTAAAACTGCATAAAATGGAAGAAATGCATACTGCAAGTTGAACTGAGGCAGAGGAAGGCAGGAATTAAGAGTACACAGCTTAACGCAAATTTAAACGACTGTATTATAAAAAGGTTTGGACAGGGCACGTCACGGTTTGAAGGGATGACCGATGGGCAAGAATGCCGAACGTCGCCAAAAGACTGAAACGCTATTTGTGAGCACGTCCAGTGAGGAGATGGAAGCGACGGAATCGGCTCGCACGCAGGCGGTTGGGTAGGATTTGTTACATCGCTGGATCGCGGGACTTGGCGGCTTTAGAGGCCTTCATCCAGCAGCGGATTGACCACGGCTCGACGACAGGGTGACCGGGTGGTGGCTTTGCGAGCCTGTGACGCACAATGTGCGCGTGACTCGCCGCCAGGGGGCCGCATCGCCCCCCCCGGAAGTGACTCGCAACCACCACAAACAGTCCCAACAGCCCGCGGGCTAAACTGCCGCGCCTCCAACAAAAGACGAATCAAATAAATAAATCACACCAACAGCAACAGCCACATCCCCCCCACCACCACCTCCTCACCAACATCACCACTATTAACGCCATCACCACCACTGTACAGCGACCGCCAGCGCTGACTCGCCGCTCCCTGCTCCCTGCACTGTTGTTTTGGGTGGCGGGCGGTGGTGATGGCGCCGCCGCCGCCGCAGCAGCACGTCTTGGCTCTCCACCGTCAGCGCCGCCGAGACTCCCCCGTGTTTCTATATATATATTTTCTTTAAAACTTTCTGTCACGTACTCTCTTGGTGTTGCTGTTACCTCTGTGCGTGCTCTTGCCGCTGGAGTTATCACGGTTGTTGGTGTCGCTCTCGCCATTGCAGCCGCTTGCCCCGCTCATGGTCGCCGCCTCGCGCACGAATACACGCACACGGGCCGTGACGCAGCGCCGCCGCCCTCCCCCCCCCACAGATAACTCCGCGGATTCCGCCTGATGGTCGGGAAGCGAGGGGCAGTTTTAATTGTAACGCGCCGCTTTACATTCCGTGGGCGACGTCGGGGCTACGGAGAGCGAATGTGAGGCGGTTATCTTGCGCGGGCGCGGACTTTAAGGCGGGGAAGTGCCGGGACTATTTTTTATGGCCGTGCCGCCATTTCCCCCGCTCCCGTGCGTGTAATGGCGGACAGCCTCGGCCGAAATCAGTCGACCCACTGACTGCTACATGTACTAACCACTTTTAAGTTAACATTTATTTTACATTTTTAACATTTGAAATGGTTAGCCGAGGCTAACCATTTACACACGTGCGTTTATGAAACAAGACTGATGTGTCCGGTTACATAACAGCTAGAGTTTTAACTTGCACTGCTCTTAAATGAAATTTTTAGTAAAATGAGCTCCACTTATTTGTAAATTCATTGTCCCCTTCAGTGTGTTGTAAACACCGCCTAAAGTCAACTTTCCTCCCAACTTACACAGCCCAATTATTTCACTGACGGTATGTGTGAAACAAAGCAACATGAGGCGTTTATTGAACAATTTGCTTAATAGCACGAAGCAATATTCACTTAAAATGTGTTGGGTATAAAAGTTGCATTAAAAACTTCAGTGCATTGCTTTCAGTAACAAGCTTACTGTACACGTGTGAAACAGGTACCAGCTTAAAGAACTGCATAAATAATACCCCCTTTACACAATACACAAGGGAAAGTTACTGAATGTTATTAACTCCTCGGCTTGTCATGTTTTGACAGATTAAACATGATACATTGTTTGCGTTCATGTTCATTTTTTCGGTAAAAGCTCACTGGGGTAGGTTTCTTTTACGAGAATAACAGCGATTTTCATTTCCCTTAAGTTTACAACTCACATGACGTGTTTGATCTTTTGTCTTACCTTCTTAGGTACTATTTTTATGTTAACTTTTTATTCTAATTCATATTTTTAATGTTATTAAGTCTTAAAAGCTGTTTGTTGGTGTGGTCAACTCGTTTGCTCCCACGCTCAGCCTCCTAACCAACAGTCATTAACGTACAGTCCTGTATACATTTATAAATATACACTTACATATCTTATTTCCACATTAACACACACATTCACTGCACTGAGACTCATACAAATATACTCGTGTACTGTATATGCACACATACACTCATATACTCTTCACGTACACACGTTTTCATTTACATACACACGTATAGTGCAGTGAAACACATATATACCTCAACCACAACTATTACCACAACCACAGATACTACCGCCATCAAAACCACATTGCTATCACTGACACAACTATTACCACAACTACAACTACCAAAATCACTACCACGACCTCTACCACATGCACGACTATCACTTCAAGTAATGTACTACCTAAACCATTTCCTCTACCCTCACCTCAACCACTACCACGGCTGTTACAACAAATACTATACTACCATCACCACAATCACTTTAACATTCACCTCTACCTCAACCACTACCTCACCAACTGCCACTTTCACTAATCCCCCACTACCCCCTGTATCTGTGTCTGCCTCCCCTAGTGGTGAATAGTGTCTGAACCATTTCTGACGCCCCCTCCCCTGTAATATATGTTTGTCTCCCTTACAGCTGCTGGCCCAGTTTCGAGTGGTGTCTGAACCTTGCCTGGATCGGGTCTTGACCCCATATCCCTCTACCTCCCACCAAATTTGCTTGTTTGTGTAGATATTTTCTACCCACATACTCTGATGTCACAACCACTTCCAACTACAAACACTGGCACGCCCACTATAACTGCCACAGCCATCGCCACAACAACTACTACTACCACATATATTATCAAAGACACGATTGCGACCCCCCACCAAAGGATCGTAACCTTATAGTGGTGGTGGGGTTTGTGCGTTCCAATGACCCTCAGAGCTATGTCGCCTGGAGTCTTGTACTCATGATAGGGTGTCCCTTGGTGAATAGTTCTGAGGGAGGTTCCAGACAAATAACGGTCAAAACAAAAGCCCCTTATGAATGGTTCTGAAATATAAATATCAGATAACCTCGCCCGGACAAGGTATACTGGGACACCCCCCTGGAGCCAGGCCTGGGTGTGGTGTTCGCTGGCATGCGGCTGGTGGGTTGGGTGACCCACGTAACCCGGTCGGGGCTAGCCCGAAATGGCTATGTGGTGCCGTCCTTTGGGCCCACCATCTACAGGACGAAGGGTGAGGGCTGGGTGTAATGCCAGTATGACAGGGAGAGGGATGGTCTTGGACGGACTGGACCTTGGCAAAGGATACTAGCTTTTGGGACGTGGAATATCACGTCACTGGAGGGGAAGTAGCCAGAGCTGGTGGAGGAGGTGGAAAGGTATCGACTAGATATAGTCGGTCTCACCTCCACACAGCTTTGGCACTGGAACCAAACTTCTGGATGGGAGGTGGTCCCTCTCCTATTCTGGAGTAACCCTTGGTGAGAGGCCCCGGGCGGGTGTGGGGATACTCAGAAGCCCCCGGCTGGGTGCTGTTCAGTTGGAGTTTGTCCCAGTGGATGAGAGAATTGCCTCAATGAGACTTCAGGTCTCAGAAAGGAAAACTCTGACTTTTATTTGTGCTTATGCACCAAACAGCAGTTCAGAGTATTCAGCCTTCTTGGAGATGGTGGGTGCAGTGCTCAATAGAGTGCTGCTTACCAACTCAATAGTCTTACTGGGCAACTTCAATGCTCATGTGGGAAACAATAGAGATAACTGGAGAGGAGTGATTGGGAGGAATGGCCCCCTTGATCTGAACCCAAACAATGAAATGTTATTGGAATTTTGCGCTAGTCACGGAATGCCAATAACAAACACCATATCTGAATACAAGGATGCTCATAACTGTACTTGGTACCAAAGTACATTGGGCCGAAGGTCAATGATTGACTTTTTTGTTGTATCTTCGGACCTAAGGTCATATGTTCTGGACACTCGGGTGAAGAGAGGGGCAGAGCTGTCAACTGATCACCACCTGGTGGTAAGTTGGATCCGACGCTTGAGGCACCAACCAGATGGACGTGAAAGGCCCAAACGAATAGTCCAGGTTTTGTGGGAATGTCTGGCACAAGGCCAGTGCAGAAAGATTTCAACTTCCACCTCCGGGAAAACTTCTCCTACACTCCAGGGGACAGAATGGACATTGAGCCTGTATAGACAATGTTCAGGACCTAAATTGTTGATGCAGCTGCGAAAAGCTGTGGCCTGATGGTAGTTGGTGCCTGTTATAGCGGCAATCCTAGGACATGCTGGTGGACACCAGTGGTGAGGGAAGCTGTCAAGTTGAACAAGGAAGCTTTCCGAGTTATGTTCGGAAAAGGTCTCCCGACTCAATTGAGAGGTACCATCTTGCCAAGAGGGCGGCAGCGGTAGTAGTCACTGAAGTGAAAGCCCAGGCATAGGAGGAGTTTGGAGAGGTCATGGAGAGGGACTACCGGGCAGCCTCCAAGATGTTCTTGCAAACGATCCGACGCCTTAGGTGGGGTCGATCGGACATGGCCCAGGCTGTTCTCAGTAAGGGTGGTTTAACATTGAAATGAACTAAGGAAATAATCAAGAGATGGAAGGACCACTTTAAAGAGATTCTCAACCCGGTGGACATGCTCTGCTCTCAGGAGGCAGCCCTGGAAACAGCTGGGGGTGTCAGATCTATCACAGTTGCTGAAGTTGCTGCGGTGGTCGAGGACCTTCATAACAGCAAAGCTGCTGGGGTGGGCAAGATTCTCCCAAAGTTGTTGAAAGCACTGGACAGTGTAGGAATGTCGTGTTTTAACACGCCTATTCAAAGTGGCATAGGAGGCGGTTACAGAAAGGGGACCAGAGGGTGTGCTACAACTACAGAGAGATCACACTCCTCAGCATTCCAGGTAAAGGCTATGCCAGAGTGCTAGAGAGCTGCACCCGGTGGGCGAGCCTCAGATTCAGGAGGAACAATGCGGATTCCGTCAGGGTAGTGGAATAATGGACCAGCTTATTTCCCTCTCACAGATATTTGAGAGATCATGGGAGTATGCTTCTCCAGTCTACCTCTGCTTTGTAGACTTGGAGAAGGCATTTGACCGTGTTCCCTGGAATGTCTTATGGGAGGTGCTATAGGAGTGTAGAGGTGTTAACTACGCGCTTTTGCGTAACCTGCATTGCCACCTGGGCAGTGCAGCATTACCCCTGGGTACAACGGTTGGGGTCAGTCGAGGTGAAACGGATCGTGGCCAGGGTTTGGTGTGAACCAATCAGACGGTTCCACGTGGGAATGTATGATTGGTTCTACCTGGCCACGAAGGGGTATAAGACGGGTGACCCAACGGACCTCGGGGGGTTCTCTCCCTGCACGAAGATAGAAGACTGGGCTGAAGCCTAGCTAGGACCCTGGACCAGCCTCCCAGCCCTTCTAAGGGCTAAGGCTCGGCATACCCAGTGGTCAGGACCCACCGGGCCAGCGGTGGGTCAGATAGCCTCCCCTAGGTCCTAGCCGGAGGACTAGGATAGCGGTAGACGTGTGAGTCCCGCCAGGTCCGGAGGCTGTACCTCCCTAGGGTATCGGGTGAGGGGACCGAATATCCCTCTGTGTGTGTTAAGCGTTGTATAAGGAAATAATACAATAAACAGAGTGTGCCTCCTAAAAAAGTCTGCTCATCCTTACAACACTACAGGAGTATGATGTACCGGGGCCGCTTTTGTGTGATATCCGGTCCCTCTATTCCCGGAGTGAGGGCTGTGTCTGTATTCTTGGTGTTAAATCAAAGTCGTTCACTGTGGGTGTTGGACTCTGCCAAGAAGTGTCTTGTTTCCACTCTTGTTTGTGATTTTTATGGACAGGATATCAAAGCGTAGCCGAGGTATGGAGAGTATCCAGTACCTGGGCATGGAGGTGGCATCATTACTTTTTGCAGATGACGTTGTCCTCTTTGCCTCGTCAGCCTGTGATCTCTAGCGTGCACTTGAATGGTGTGATGCCGAGTGCGAAGCGGCTGGGATGAAGATCATTACCTCAAAATCTGAGGTCATGGTTCACTCCCAGGAGATGGTGGAGTGTGCTCTCCAGGTGAGGGGGGAAC